GCCGATTCCGTGTTTCACAGTTTAGACTTCACATACCCATGTCTGCCGATTCCGTGTTTCACAGTTTAGACTTCACATACCCGTGTCTGCCGATTCCGTGTTTCACAGTTTAGGCTTCATATACCCGTGTCTGCCAATTCCGTGTTTCACAGTTTAGGCTTCATATACCCGTGTCTGCAAATTCCGTGTTTCACAGTTTAGACTTCACATACCCCTGTCTGCCAATTCAGTGTTTCACAGTTTAGGCTTCACATACCCGTGTCTGCCGATTCTGTGTTTTACAGTTTAGGCTTTATATACCCGTGTCTGACGATTCAGTGTTTTACAGTTTAGGCTTCATATACCCGTGTCTGGCGATTCCGTGTTTTACAGTTTAGGCTTCATATACTCGTGTCTGCCGATTCCGTGTTTCACAGTTTAGACTTCACGTACCTGTGTCTGCCGATTCCGTGTTTCACAGTTTAGGCTTTATATACCCGTGTCTGCCGATTCCGTGTTTCACAGTTTAGGCTTCATATACCCGTGTCTGCCGATTCCGTGTTTCACAGTTTAGACTTCATATACCCGTGTCTGCCGATTCCGTGTTTCACAGTTTAGACTTTACATACCCGTGTCTGCCGATTCCGTGTTTCACAGTTTAGGCTTTATATACCCGTGTCTGCCGATTCCGTGTTTCACAGTTTAGGCTTCACATACCCGTGTCTGCCGATTCCGTGTTTCACAGTTTAGGCTTCACATACCCGTGTCTGCCGATTCCGTGTTTCACAGTTTAGGCTTTATATACCCGTGTCTGCCGATTCCGTGTTTCACAGTTTAGGCTTCATATACCCGTGTCTGCCGATTCCGTGTTTCACAGTTTAGACTTCACATACCCGTGTCTGCCGATTCCGTGTTTCACAGTTTAGGCTTTATATACCCGTGTCTGCCGATTCCGTGTTTTACAGTTTAGACTTCACATAACCGTGTCTGCTGATTCCGTGTTTTCACAGTTTAGGCTTCATATACCCGTGTCTGCTGATTCCGTGTTTCACAGTTTAGGCTTCACTATCCTGTGTCTGCTGATCCCGTGTTTCACAGTTTAGGCTTCATATACCCGTGTTTCACAGTTTAGGCTTCATATACCCGTGTTTCACAGTTTCACAGTTTAGGCTCTATAAACCTACGTGAGCCAAGTGAGTCAGTGCGTGAGTGTGTGAAAGGGTGAGTGAGTTATTGGGGAGCGGGTGATTGAATGAGTTAGTGGATTGGGGATGGGGGTGGGGCGGTATTTTTACAGATTATTTTTGAGGCAGAGATTGAAAAGTGGATGAGAATGTTTGCCCTGAGATTTGAGTTGGAGATGCTGCACACATAAGGATGTACACCTTTGATACCAAGTCCATGCACTCTCTATTCTAGGTAGACAGTTTGGAGGAAATTCAAATACAGCTAAAAGTGTATAGTGGAGTCAAAATCATTTTTGATATTCCCGAGGAACTATAAACGTGTTAATTTCATGGTTGACCATAAATAAAGCAATCTTTCTGACTGACTTATCTTGTTAAGGTGCAATGAGAAAACTGAGTGAGTGAGTAATATTGAACAAACGTGAAGATATCATGTATATGATATATATTTCACGAGCAATTTCTGGACTGTCAACTGAATTTAATAATACAACTATTGTATATTAATACTGGGAACTAGTCAAATGGGCCGAAAGACAAAAGGGCCGAGAAGTGCCAAGTCAAAAGGGCCGATGGAAAAAGTCAAAAGGGCCGAGGTGAAAGTAAAATGGGCCGTGACAAAAAGTCAAAAGGGCCTTATTCCTAGTCAAATGGGCCGAACAGAAAAAAAAAGTTTGGAAAGGTTATACATTATTTATTGACACATATAGCATGGGAACATAATACCCCCATAACATTAATAAAATGGTAATGACATGGTAATAGCCAAGCATGTAGCCAAGTTTTCACGTAATGGCAATACATATAGATCATAATTGACTTAATTAACACAAGTTCACATAATTAACAAAAATAATATAATGGTAATTTACACAAGTACATTCGTTCATAATTTATACAAGTTCACATACACTCTGGAACTGTTCACTCGCAGGAAGGCGACTTTTTCGGGCGTGTATAAACATTGGCCGTTTTTCGTTTTCGCCTTCGTGCGAAAAGGGTAGACATTTGCAACAATGGGTTCGTGTGTTTATACAGGAACCCTAATCCCAGAGGAAGGCGACAACCACAATACGATCATGTTCATTTTATTCATACATATGTATTCATTAAATCATTATTTGAAATATGTACAAAGTCTCATCTAACATGTTAATCATCTTATCATTTATACTATATTTCACTTAAAGTTCACTTAAGATGCTAGTTCAATTTAAGAACAAACGATGCACTGTCTGCATACTCGTACACCGTCATCTGGTTGGAATCCAACTTAATGGTTCCAGGTAATCATTGGGAGATTGCCCTCTATCCACGTTGAGGCGGCATGGTCTGCCAGACTATGACGTCGACACTGAGTCGAGATACTTTACAATAAAAACGCTAGACTCCCATGTGGACTAAAAACTTACGACAACAACAGAAACATACATCACTTACGGATTAGTCATGACACTGAGTCAAGACACTTCACAATGAAAACATTTGAGTCTCATGTTCAAATTCCATTAAAAATAACAACAACAAACAAAACACTATTTACACTATTTTACTATGTAATTTATGATTTTTTTTATTTTTCGGCCCTTTTTTCGCCCATTTTGACTTTTCATTTCGGCCCATTTGACCTTTAGCCTCGGCCCTTTTGACTTTATTTTTCGGCCCTTTTGTCCTTCGGCCCTTTTGACTACAACCCATTAATACTTAAACTGAACAAAACAGTTATTTTACACATGTACATATATGTCAAAACATATGTCTAAACATATATATACTCAACCGCATAAAAAACGCAAGTTTTTCAAAATGAATAAATATTCGACAGAACATTGTTAAATGTTATAGTGTAACTACATATTGGTTACCTTTGTTGTGAAAAAAACAGTTTGTTAGTGTTCAGGTTCTGTTTGTGATTTCTCTTGGATATTGCACATCGCCAAAACGCAGCAATCGAATTGGCCGTTGGGTGTGGTTGCAGAATTTTTTCATGAAAATCATGATGCGCATTATGTCACGGACACATAGGGGTATGAAAATGCCCTCAAATCAGTTTGAAATCTCTCCCGACAAACGCCTACCAAGAATGCCAAGGTTAACGACGCAACAGAGGGAACAAGCCATCGGCCGTCTTGAAGCTGGACAGAGTGTTGCAGATGTTGCCAATGCATTCCATGTGCACATAACGACCATCTACCGTCTTCAGGACGTTTTGCAGCTACACAGACCACGGCTGACCGCCAACGTCCTGGACGTCCCAGAATCACAACACCACTGCAAGATCGACACATTCAACGTTCGCACATCGGGGATCGATTCTTATCTGCCAACGAGACTGCCCGACATGACTATTGCACGTCACAACCGAGCAATAAGCGGAGATACAGTTCGGCGCAGACTCAGAGCAGTCCACCTCCGTTGTCGTCGTCCAGCTCCACGTCCTATCCTCACACCGAGACATCGTCAGAATCGCCTGCAGTGGGCTTCGTTGCATCGAAACTGGCGTCAACAACAGTGGAGACTGGTATTGTTCTCTGATGAAAGTCGGTTTTGCATTTATCATGCTGACCGCCGAGTTTAAATATGGCGAAGACGAGGTGAACGCTTTGCTGTCGAATGTGTAAGGGAAGATGATGCATGGGGAGGTCCGAGCGTTATGGTATGGGCAGCGATTGGCCTGAATCAGAGATTAGGGCCAGTATTCTTCCAGGTCGGGGAAATGGAGTCACTGCCCAACGTTATATCGACCAGATCCTCCGACCCCAGGTTGTGCCATTTTGCGTCCGACACAAGCAACACATTTACCAGCAAGATTATGCCAGGCCCCACACTGTTAGAGTCACGCAGGCATTTTTCCAGCAGCACAACATCCGACTACTGCCATGGCCTGCTGTCAGTCCCGATTTAAACCCGATCGAACATTTTTGGGACGAGCTGCAGAGACGACTGAATGAAGTCCGACCACGTCCGACAACTGCAGCAGAACTCCAGGCAGCCATCATCCGGACATGTGCGGCAATCCCTAGGGCCTTTGTCAACCATCTGATTCACTCCATGTTCAGGCGGTGCACAACTGTAGTGAATGCACAAGGTGGACATACACGCTACTGACTTGTTGGATCAATTTCGATTTTGTCTTCAATGCAAAGTAAACCAACAATGTTTCCATGCATTGACTGACATGTCCCAATAATCATGCAATAAGTGTTGATTGTTATTATGTACCTGTTTTCATGCATTATCTGTCAAAAGTAAAGTTTTTCTCAATCTGGATTTTGACTTGCGTTTCTTTTGCGGTTCAGTATATAATGTTTAGTTCAGAACATTATGTACAGATGCTATAATTTTTAACAAATAAACTTTTTTAAAAAAAGGAAAAAAATTGGTCACGAAAAAATAATATTTTATACAAAATTGCATGCAGAAAAATTGCGTCTGAGAACATCTAATTTAAAAAAAATTCCACGGGGAGACTAGATTCATAAATGCATAATATTTTATGCTGCAAAAAGTGCTTTATGGGTTTCAGCTTCTCATTCAGTTGATCTTATTCGTTCTACATATGTCCAGTGGGTCGAGGATTCGTTCTACATATGTCCAGTGGGTCGAGGAGATTTCATAGAAAAGTTTTGTGGAACGCTGAGAGCGCACCTTCCAATGTAGCTAAGATACATAGCGTTCACTGTCAGTGAACGCTATGTATCTTAGCCACTTCCCATGTAAGTGCCATCTTTTCCAAACTGGTCCTCAATCATCAGTGCGCTGGTGTGGGATGCGCATGAAACTCACCACTAACAAATGCACCATTTCGGTTATCTCCCCGGAAGTGAACTTTCACGTGTTCAACTATGGCGGCAAGAAGAAATAAACAAATGCTGCCGTATATTTGAAAATCGGCACGGACACGACTCATGCATGACAAGAATCCTTATATTTGCAGATGACAATGTTTAGTGTAAAATCGGAGTTTCAAGTAGGCCGATATGTCAATATGTTCTCATTGTAGGCGTGGCTCGCATTGTGTAGTGTAGTCTACTGTTACTTTCGTTTTGGGAGACACTTTACAGCTGATTTGGATACTTCCTGGAAGTTCAGTGACGTCATTAAAATTTCGTGGTACTGTGAACCTGTATACTACATGTTTAGATACTGTCAAGCTCTCCGGTTGTCAGCTCTGTTTTTAGATACGTCAGGGATTGTTTCACGTACCTCATTTGTCATGTTTCACTCAGTCTGTCAGTTGGAGATACCCAGATTACAATCCACTTTGGTGGAATATCTTTAAATTTTTGGTGACCATTACCAGATTATAGATCTGCACAATCGTTGGTCACGTGGTGAATTGATTGTTTCTGAGAAAGATTAGGCCTATGCAGCGAATATACCACGAAAGGACAAATGTGTGATTGTCAGTTTTCTATTTTGTTTCAGAAGACAGGGATGGGAACAAAGTCACTGTCCCCACCCAGTGGAACTTGAAAGATTTTGTGTGAACAAAATTTGGAAGGTAAATATATTGTTTTAATTAGCATGATGAGTTTTGTGTGAAGAATTATACATCTATCTTAATTGCCCTTAACATGCCAAATCTATACCAACTCTTCTGAGAGTTTAATCATGTAATTTTTCTGTATACAACAAATCTGGGTCATGCTAGTGGTACTAGTCAATGTCATGTATATTCATCTTTCTAAAAATTTCTCTATTTTTGGTTTTCATACCATCATTTCTATCTAGTCATAAAATGAACAATGTAAGGTTTGGCTCTTGTTGTCAAGTTTCTACATTATGATCATATCTCATATACCAAACCGAAAAAGAGACCAAACCGAAGGCCGTGTACCGCAGTACGTACCGTTTCACCCCTATTCAAACCTTCTATCTGCTCCTGCTTCTCACAACAAGCAGCTCAATCCTCGACAGCTAAGTCTTGTTTCTATTTCAAGATGGCTGCTGAAGGAGGATGTAAATCATCCTATCCTTTATTCATGGACTGAACATGATACCTGGAACTTGCTAATTGCTATTGATAATCTCCATTCAGTGCATAGATAGTAGCAAGCACAAGACCATGTTGACACCACTATAAGATTTATTTACCTTCAGGTCACAATATGGCTCAAATATTGCCGACATGACGTTTGACTCACTCACTGTCTATTTCCAGAATGTCTCACCAGTCCGAGAGAGAGCGGCTGAGGAAGGCTGTCCTGGACGTCCTCAGGGACAATCCACGTGGAATTAAGAGAGAGCATTTGTGGAATTTCACCGCCAAAAAACTTGGAAAGTCACCAAAAGCAAGTGACTATGGGGTTGGTAAAATGTCGCAGATGTTTCCCTTCGTACAACACCTCTACCTGGAATTCAAGGAAGGGAAAGATATCTTCATCAAACTGAAACCTGTTGGAGCAGATGCTGAGGTCATATCTAGTGATGAAGATGACTTTCCATCTTTGCTGTTGCATAGTCAATCAACTAAAGCTAAGCCAAATAAATCAACATCACGAGACACCAAGGGCTCATCGAGAAATACCCCCAAACAAGGTACATCATCGGATTCCTTCTTATCCCTGGAAGTGTCTGGGTCCAGCTGGGCGTCCGAGAGTCACTCCAGGGAGGAAATGTTGGAGGAGCTGAAAGATCAACTTGTGAAACTGTTGAAAAAGAAGGGAAGGGTTCAGAAAATGCAGTTATGGGGACATTTTCAGCGAGAATATCATGTTACTCCAAAAGGCTCAGAATATGGTGTAAACAAAATGGCTGATGTGATTCAACAGTTCACAGATGTTATTGAAGAGCGACGGATTGATGGTGAAAATTATTTACAGCTCAGGCAAACGAGACCGAAAGTTAAAGACACCAACCTGACATGGGGCCAGGGTGCAAGAGCCAAGTCAACGCCTGTAGTTGGCAGGACATCCCAGCAGAGAACAGCACCAGGAATCGGCAGGACATCCCAGCAAACAATCGTGACATCTTCTGATGATTCTTCAGACACTGACAGTGATTGTGTAGTAGATGAAAAAAAAACATTTGTAAGCTCAAAACTGCATGGAAAGTCTGAAACAGATTTTAAGGATGAGTTTGAAAAGCTGGAACAGCAGATACAGTCAAGCAGGATGCGGGGGAATCTTCTTGGTCAGCCGTTACAAGTGCAGCCTGGTTCCCGCACTCAGGCCATAAGGCCACCACAACCAATCCAGCCTCTCATGCAAGGAGCCTTTGCCTTCTTCCAACCTGTAGTTCCAGCTCCGCTCCACCAACGGATGGCTCCTGCACATCATCATCAGATGAGTCCACCTGTTGCTGCTGCTGCACAGGGCATGTCCAGGCATCCAGCTCCTCACACCTCCAGGTCCAGTTCCGGAGAGATGAAGATTCTTTGGCGAAGACAGGGCTCTGCAGCACGATCTCCAAAGCCCGGACATCAGCCAGACTTGAGAGGAGAGAGATCAATGTTGCTCCAGTTCCTTACAGTAGAGGTCTGCCATCAAAGGATCAGATTGACGCTGTTGCCAAAGATTGTATTACAATCCTAGCTGACGCCAATGAGCACGCGGTCAGTTGAGAGGATTGAGAAGCTGCTTTGCCAGCGGTTCAATATCAGGTCGATTCGTGACCTTGGTTGTGTTCGCCATGTGGACCAGATCAGTACTGTCAATGAACATGCTCGCCTCCTTTGTAAAGTGAACATATACGTTCAAGCTTTTGTCAAAGCAAGATCTGTCTGCACTATGTTTGAACTATCAGAGTGTCTGAGGGAATTCACCAAAGACCGGGATGACTTCGAGTCCCTGAAGCTTGGCCCCCTGCAACGCCTACCAGTCGTGTACGACATGTTCAAGTTCCCGTGTGATGAGGAGATCCCTGAAATAACCACCATGGACCTGCTGGAGCACCTGCGTGACTACCTGTCGAAGAACAACAAGTGGATGGAGCGTGTGGAGATGGAGCCGGTGATGAGCTACATGGTGGAGGCCTACAGCTCCGACACTGCGTACCAGCTCGGCATCAGAATACGCAGCCTGCCCCTGGCTGTGCAGGTCAGTAGGTCGTTACCGTAGTAACAGGATTAACATACACAACATTTGGTAAGTATGTTATAACATGCAGTTACCTTGCTTTGTACAGGGCATATGTGGTTAACTTGCTTCCGACTGGGCATATGTGGTTAACTTGCTTCCTACAGGATGTGGTTACCTTGGTTACCATGCTGGTTCACAGAAGGACAACTTGGTGGAATCAATATATGTGATTCCATTATTGTGGAAAGATTTGTTAAGGCCAGACCAATTTTATTTCTTGTTTTATGGATTTTTGTCCTCGGAAAACCTAAGGGCAGGAGGGAAAAAAATAAAAATAAAATCACTAGTGAAACTAATATTCCTTCTAAATATTTAAGGGGTGCTGGGGTAGCCTAGTGGTTAAAGCGTTGTCTCGTCACACCGAAAGCACGGGTTCGATTCCCCACATGGGTACAGTGTGTGAAGCCCATTTCTGGTGTCCCCCGCCGTGATATTGCTGGAATATTGCTAAAACAGCGTAAAACCATACTCAGTCAGTCAGTCAGTCTAAATATTCAAAGTATGTTACTTTAGGCAATTTATGAAGTGTATATGGGGCAAAAAAACAATCTAAAAACCAAATTTCTTGAATGTTTACATTTTGGCCAATAAAAACATAAGGATTTTATTTTTTGAGCGGGAATATTAACTTCTTCTTTTTCTTATTTTTGAAAAAATATGACAGGTGGATCTGTAAAACAAGAAATAAAATTGGTCTGGCCTAAAGACTTCAGCAGAAGATGCAGAATTGATTTTTATAAGTTAATCACTGGTCACTACTATTATTTTCATTATTTCCCAATCTTTCTATTGGGTTAAGCACTTGAATATGCCAGAACATATGACCTGTTTCAAACATGTAAAATATAAGTCCAACAATGAAAGGAAATTTGACAGAAAATTTGGAACATCCCCGTAGTGTTTTAACTTCAAATATTGTCTGGGTCTGAAAATAGCAACACTTTGTTGAATTTGTCCCATAGCTCGGTTCATGGTAACATCCTCTAGTGGAACATGGTCCCAAAACATTTCAAAGTAAGATGATTTTCTGGAATGTGGCCATGTCACTGTGATGTTGTAGATGTTGAAGAAGTCGCAGCGTGACGCAGCCAATACCAGGCGGACTGTGACAGAATCCTTCAAGGACAGCTTCAAGAAGGAACTGGCAGCAGCATTCAAGAAGTTCCAGGCTGCCATTCTTCAAACAGGAGAGGATGGAGAGTCCGAGGTCCGCTCCCACTATCTCCGACTCAAACCTGAAATAGCCATCATGGAGATGTTCCAGAAGTTTCAACTGTTGCTGTCCATCGACCAGCCAGAGAACAGGGCTCAGATGAAGCGACATCGCCAACTGGAGTCGGCCATCAATGGTTTCCTGTTGACAATGCGTGACGACCAAATGGCATGCTCTCTACTTCATCTTGCGATATGTATCGGAAACACGACACTAGAGGAGTCCGCCATGGAACTATTTGCGCCTCCATCTCCTCCAAGTCAGGAGAATGCAGCAAGGGAAAGCAACTCTGCCCCAAGACAGCCACCATCAAATGGTACATACTTCATTATTGTCATGTGGAATAAGTTGACCATTTTGGTGATGTTGATGTCACTGTAGGGTTTTGTCTGCCAAACATTTCACATGTGTTAGATTGCTTCATAAGCTTTTGTCTGGTTGCTCACATTCAGATCTTCTTAATGTCAGATGTTAGTCTTCTGTGTTAAACCTGTATTCCCCAGTAATGTGAGATGTGTTTACAGCTGCTGTGTTAGATCTGTATTCCCCAGTAATGTGAGATGTGTTTACAGCTGCTGTGTTAGATCTTTATTCCCCAGTAATGTGAGATGTGTTTACAGCTGCTGTGTTAGATCTGTATTCCCCAGTAATGTGAGATGTGTTTACAGCTGCTGTGTTAGATCTGTATTCCCCAGTAATGTCAGATGTGTTTACAGCTGCTGTGTTAGATATTTATTCCCCAGTAATGTCAGATGTGTTTACAGCTGCTGTGTTAGATATTTATTCCCCAGTAATGTCAGATGTGTTTACAGCTGCTGTGTTAGATCTGTATTCTCCAGTAATTTGAGATGTGTTTACAGCTGCTGTGTTAGATCTTTATTCCCCAGTAATGTGAGATGTGTTTACAGGTGCTGTGTTAGACCTGTATTCCCCAGTAATGTGAGATGTGTTTACAGCTGCTGTGTTAGATCTGTATTCTCCAGTAATGTAAGATGTGTTTACAGCTGCTGTGTTGGACAACTTGAAGAAGTACATCGAACGCTGCCTGGCTCAGGGTTCCCTGAGTCTTGCTCATCTTGATCGGATCGAGGAGAAGCTCCTCGAAGATTTTGGATATCCTGATTTCAGGATGATGGGCTTTGGCCGATTCCTCCACTTTCTGATGACAGATCCAACTGCTAAAGCTGTAAGTAGATTCTGCATTTTACAAAACTATGTCATGTATGTCAGGCCTATTTATGTTTGTTTGGAATTTCTTGTCTATAAACACAGTCTCCACAACACTGTAAGTTGTGCTGTTAGTGCAACTATGTCTAGGGAAGAACCGGACGATACTGGCTGAATCTGGGACATGTTAGTTAACTATCCAAACCATTTGAAATACCCACGGAATCAGTGGCATGTTGGAGTTATGATGATAACAGCCAGATAACTTGGGAAGCATGCACAACTTAGGAGTCCTGTGTACTCATACTCCAGCTTGATTAGATACAGGGATAGTTGATGGATAGTTGATAGTTGATAGATAGTTGATAGTTCATGAACAGTTAATCATTAATGGATAGTTGATGGATAGTTGATAGTTAATGAACAGTTACTCATTAATGGATAGTTGATGGATAGTTGATAGTTAATGAACAGTTAATCATTAATGGATAGTTGATAGTTGATGCGGTCGGGGATCGAACCCGCGAACTTCTGCTCTCCGGGCGGACGCTTTAATGACGTTGAGTATAACCACTAGTTAGCTGGGAGGTTGATTGATAGTAATAGATAGTTGATAGTTGATGGATAATTGATAGTTGATAGTTCATGTATCATTAATGGATAGTTGATAGTTAATGGATAGTCATTATATTTATAGTTGATGGGTGATAGTTGATGTTAATTGATAGTTAGTGGATAGTTGATGGATAGTGAATGGATAATTCATTTAACAGTAGTTGATAATTATTGGTTAGTTGACGATGTGTTGCATGTATAATAGTGTATGGATAGTTGATAGTTAATGAGCCATAGAATCATGGTTTTATAGTTGATGGGTGAGTTGAGTTGCCGTTGAGTAGTTGAATAAATTGGGTTCTTTCGTACACATTGATGGACTGTGAATGGATAATTCATTGGTAGTTAATTAATGTTAATGGATAGTTGATATTCATGTATATATTAATGGATAGTTTGATATTAATGAGCGGGGATTTTGGTATGTGGGTCGAACCATTAATTTATAGTCCGATGGGTACGTTTCTAAATCCAATTAATTTAATGAGTTAATTGATAGTTAGTGGATAGTTGATGGATAGTGAATGGATAATTCATTGGTAGTTAATAGTTAATGGATAGATGATGATAGTTCATGTATAGTTAATGGATAGTTGATAGTTAATGAACGCTGAATCATTAATTTATAGTTGATGGGTAGTTGAGTTAATTGATAGTTAGTGGATAGTTGATGGATAGTGAATGGATAATTCATTGGTAGTTAATAGTTAATGGTTAGTTGATAGTTCATGTATAGTTAATGGATAGTTGATAGTTAATGAACGCTGAATCATTAATTTATAGTTGTCGGGCAGTTGAGTTAATTGATAGTTAGTGGATAGTTGATGGATAGTGAATGGATAATTCATTGGTAGTTAATAGTTAATGGATAGTTGATAGTTCATGTATAGTTAATGGATAGTTGATAGTTAATGAACGCTGAATCATTAATTTATAGTTGTCGGGCAGTTGAGTTAATTGATAGTTAGTGGATAGTTGATGGATAGTGAATGGATAATTCATTGGTAGTTAATAGTTAATGGTTAGTTGATAGTTCATGTATAGTTAATGGATAGTTGATAGTTAATGAACGCTGAATCATTAATTTATAGTTGTCGGGCAGTTGAGTTTAGTTGATAGTTAGTGGATAGTTGATGGATAGTGAATGGATAATTCATTGGTAGTTAATAGTTAATGGATAGTTGATAGTTCATGTATAGTTAATGGATAGTTGATAGATAATGAACGCTGAATCATTAATTTATAGTTGATGGGTAGTTGAGTTAATTGATAGTTAGTGGATAGTTGATGGATAGTGAATGGATAATTCATTGGTAGTTAATGGATAGTTAATGGATAGTTGATAGTTTATATATAGTTATGGATAGTTGATAGTGTATAGTTAGTTAATGGATAGTTGATAGTTTATATATAGTGAATGTATAGTTGATAGTTAATGTATAGTTAATGGATAGTTAATGAATAGTTGATAGTTAATGGATAGTTGATAGTTATTAATTGATAGTTGATAGCTGATAGTTAATGATATTGATAGTTAATGGATGGTTTTAATTTGAAAATGAGATGCATTGGATAGTTTTATACGGATAGAATATATCATTGATAGTTATGGATAGTCAATAGAATAGTTGATAGCCGATGGATAGTTGATAGTTAATGGACAGTTAACATGGAATAGTTGATAGACAATGGATAGCTGATAGTTAACGTATAGTTGATAGCCGATGCGGTAGTTAATGGATAGCTAATCGACAGTTGATAGTTAATGGACAGCATGGATAGTTAATGGATAGCCGATAGCGTGATGGAGGTAGTTAACGGATAGTTAATGGATAGTTGATAGTGAATATATAGCTGATGGATAACGGATACAATGGATAGTACAGACACGGACACTAGTTTATGGCCACACGTGACACATGACAGCTGAACAGTTGATGGTTAATGTAACGGACAGTTAATGGATAGTCATCGGACATTCTTTGTACACACACTATGACACTGGGGAACTGTGGGAAAAGTCACAGCAGAAAAGAGCTGAAAATGACAGCAGAGATAATGAGCACGACAGTGGGATGTTCCACGTGACACATGAAGTATGCAACATGGACAGGAACCAAGTCACACCGATATGACAGAGTGACAGCACGGACAGCTGTGATAGCACGGACAGCTGACATGGACAGGACAGGTAGATATAGACAGCACGGACACTGCAGGTGACACACAGACAGCTGGACACTGCAGGTAACAAACGGAGACAGGAGTGGACACTGAACAGCACACGGTCGAACATAGACATATGATATTGACAGAAGCAATGGACACCGGAGGCACGGACACTGCAGGTGAAGCACGGACAGACACGGACAGCACAAGTGTGGAGATCGACATAGATACAATGCATGGATGCAGTATGTAAGAATAGACAGGTGACACTACTGCAGGTTGATGTGGAAAAATATAGACAGGTGACACTGCACAGGTGTGTAGATCAGACATAGAGTATATGTGATATGAGGCCAGGAGGAAAATGAGGTACAGAGAGTCACAAACGCAGGTGTGTCCATACAGACAGGACCGTGACATAGACAGGTGTGAATATGAATAGGTGACACTACAGCAGGTAGAATATAGACAAGGTAGACACACTAAGATAGACAGATATGGACAGAGACAGACAGGTGTGTAGACTGCAGGAACCTGCAGGTGTGGAATAGACATGACACTGCAGGTGTGTAGACTCAGACATAGAGATATGTGATGTGCAGGTAGTGAGAGATAGACAGGTCACACTGCAGGTGTGTATATATAGACAGGTGACACTGCAGGTGTGTAGAGATAGATAGGTGACACTGCAGATGTGGAGATCAGACACAGATATGTGGATGTGCAGGTATGTAGACAGACAGGTGACACTTCAGGTGAGTAGAGATAGACACCAGACACTGCAGTGTGTAGATCAGACATAGATATGTGATGTGCAGGTATGTAGAGATAGACAGGTGACACTGCAGGTATGTAGATATAGACAGGTGACACTGCAGGTATGTAGAGATAGACAGGTGACACTGCAGGTAGGTAAAGATAGACAGGTGACACTGCAGGTGTGTAGATCAGACATAGATATGTGATGTGCAGGCATGTAGAGATAGACAGGTGACACTGCAGGTGTGTAGATCAGACATAGATGTGTGTGCATGTAGACAGGTATGTAGGACACATAGACAGGTGACACTGGGTGTGTAGATCAGACATAGATATGTGATGTGCAGGTAGGTAGAGATAGACAGGTGACACTGCAGGTGTGTAGATCAGACATAGATGTGTGATGCACAGGTAGGTAGAGATAGACAGTGACACTGCAGGTGTGTAGATCAGACATAGATGTGTGGATGTGGTATTAGAGATGAGACAGGTGACACTGCAGGTGTGTAGAATGTGACATAGATATGTGATGTGCAGGTATGTAGATATAGACAGGTGACACTGCAGGTGTGTAGATCAGACATAGATATGTGATGTGCAGGTATGTAGAGATAGACAGGTGACACTGCAGGTGTGTAGATCAGACATAGATATGTGATGTGCAGGTATGTAGAGATAGACAGGTGACACTGCAGGTGTGTAGATCAGACATAGATGTGTGATGTGCAGGTATGTAGAGATAGACAGGTGACACTGCAGGTGTGTAGATCAGACATAGATATGTGATGTGCAGGTAGGTAGAGATAGACAGGTGACACTGCAGGTAGGTAGAGATAGACAGGTGACAGATATAGACAGGTGTGCAGATCAGATCAGACATAGATATGTGATGTGCAGGTATGTAGATATAGACAGGTGACACTGCAGGTGTGTAGATCAGACATAGATATGTGATGTGCAGGTAGGTAGAGATAGACAGGTGACACTGCAGGTGAGATATGTATGCAGGTAGGTAGAGATAGACAGGTGACACTGCAGGTGTGTAGATCAGACATAGATATGTGATGTGCAGGTAGGTAGAGATAGACAGGTGACACTGCAGGTGTGTAGATCAGACATAGACAGGTGACAAATGCAGGTGTGTAGATCAGACATAGATATGTGATGTGCAGATAGGTAGAGATAGACAGGTGACACTGCAGGTATGTAGAGATAGACAGGTGACACTGCAGGTGGTAGATATAGACATCACACTGCAGGTAGGTAGACAGGTGACACTGCAGGTAGGTAGACAGGTGACACTGCAGGTATGTAGACAGGTGACACTGCAGGTATGTAGACAGGTGACACTGCAGGTGTGTAGACAGGTGACATGCAGGTATGTATGACAGGTGATACTGCAGGTAGGTAGACAGGTGACACTGCAGGTAGGTAGACAGGTGACACTGCAGGTAGGTAGACAGGTGACACTGCAGGTAGGTAGACAGGTGATACTGCAGGTAGGTAGACAGGTGACACTGACAGGCAGGTGTGTAGATAGACAGGTGACACTGCAGGTATGTAGAGATAGACAGGTGACACTGCAGGTATGTAAAGATAGACAGGTGTCACTGCAGATATGTAGAGATAGACAGGTGACACTGCAGGTGTGTAGATCAGACATAGATATGTGATGTGCAGGTAGGTAGAGATAGACAGGTGACACTGCAGGTGTGTAGATCAGACATAGATATGTGATGTGCAGGTATGTAGACATGGAGTATGACATGATGTGACCACAGGAGATTTGATTTGCACCTGTAGGAACGCTTTTGACAGTAGATTTTGGTAATAATGCCCTGAAGCAATGCTATGACGCCATGACCAGTTCCAGCTGATGGATGTGAAGCTGTAGCTTTCAGAGATACGGAAAATCACATCAGCCGATGATAATAGAATTCACTTCCCTCTGCCGCTGACAAGCCGGGAAACACAAGTCAAGCCTCGGAAACACCTGTGTTGTATGAAGACACTGAAGCAGGCCACTGTGAATCAAACTTAAAAGTGGGCAGCTTTACTTTGTGTGGAGAGATTTATCACCTCAGTGTTGATAAGCCGGGAAACATTAGTGCAGGTTAACCCCATAGCATCAAGTGGGCAAACTTTTGCGGGAGAGATTTAACCCCATCAGTGCAGGTTAACCCCATTAACCCCATCGTGGTTAACCCCATCAGTGCAGGTTAACCCCATCAGTGCAGGTTAACCCCATCAGTGCAGGTTAACCCCATCAGTGCAGGTTAACCCCATCAGTGCTGGTTAACCCCATCAGTGCAGGTTAACCCCATCAGTGCGGGTTAACCCTATCAGTCTAGGTTAACCCATCAGTGCAGGTTAACCCCATCAGTGCAGGTTAACCCATCAGTGTAGATTAACCCCAACAGTGCAGGTTAACCCCATCAGTGCAGGTTAACCCCATCAGTCTAGGTTAACCCATCAGTGTAGATTAACCCCAACAGTGCAGGTTAACCCCATCAGTGCAGGTTAACCCCATCAGTGCAGGTTAACCCCATCAGTCTAGGTTAACCCATCAGTGTAGATTAACCCCATCAGTGCTGGTTAACCCTTCAGTCTAGGTTAACCCCATCAGTGCAGGTTAACCCTATCAGTGCAGGTTAACCCCATCAGTGCAGGGTTACACCCATTAGTGTAGATTAACCCCATCATCTGTTACCCTGTCAGTGCAAGTTAACCCCATCAGTGCAAGTTAAACCCATCAGTGCAAGTTAAACCCATCAGTGCAAATTAAACCCATTGGTGCAAGTTAAACCCATCAGTGCAAGTTAAACCCATCGGTGCAAGTTAAACCCATCGGTGCAAGTTAAACCCATCGGTGCAAGTTAAACCCATCAGTGCAAGTGCAAATCAAACCCATCGGTGCAAGTTAAAGTGCAAGTTAAACCCATCAGGTGCAAGTTAAACCCATAGGTGCAAGTTAAAACCATCGGCAAGTTAAACCCATCGGGTGCAAGTTAAAGTCATCAGTGCAAGTTAAACCCATCGGTGCAAGTTAAACCCATCAGTGCGATAAACCCGTCAGTGCAAGTTAAACCCATCGATGTAGGTAAAACCCATCAGTGCAGTTGTACCTTTAACATGTTTATTAACACTTATCACAGGCTAAATCTTACAGTTAATTAATCTTCTGTGGCATGTTAACTCTTTCACTTTTGTGTATTTTAACCTTTACAGTGAAGATTAACCCATTTTGGTCTGAGTAAACCTGACTCAGTGCACTTACTCTCAGTGTTCATGAATCCCACATCACAGTATACTTGTACATCTCAAGTTACCTTGGCTAGTCACAGGCTGCTTGTTGCATCCCTGATGTTAGAACTGAACAGCTTCGTCGTGGTCGTCAATCTAAAACCTCAATAACCCAGGGTCTGCCAGTAGTCTAAGACTTGTTGGTGTGTGTAACGGTATAGTACATTGATGTTTGATGCTGGTGTTGTGTCTCTGTCCAGCCTCGTGGTGGTCGTCAATCTAAAACCTCAATAACCCAGGGTCTGCCAGTAGTCTAAGACTTGTTGGTGTGTGTAACGGTATAGTACATTGATGTTTGATGCTGGTGTTGTGTCTCTGTCCAGCCTCGCGTGTGGTCGCCAATCTAAAACCTCAATAACCCAGGGTCTGCCAGTAGTCTAAGACTTGTTGGTGTGTGTAACGGTATAGTACATTGATGTTTGATGCTGGTGTTGTGTCTCTGTCCAGCTTCGTGGTGGTCGTCAATCTAAAACCTCAATAACCCAGGGTCTGCCAGTAGTCTAAGACTTGTTGGTGTGTGTAACGGTATAGTACATTGATGTTTGATGCTGGTGTTGTGTCTGTCCAGCCACAGGTGGTGATGTGAAGGTCGGGATAACCCAGGGTCACCGGAGCTGAAGACTTGTTGGTGCGCTTGCCTGGCCTGATCTCCACAACTGTAGGCCTGTCCCCTGCAGAGGTGGTGGACATGGCAGAGCCCCTGGCCTGGGAGTCACTGGGACATGGTGTTCCTGCCCCAGCTCGGCAAACTGAAAGACTTCATCCACAAGTATGGTGGCATCACGTCTCTCATGACAGAAGGTAGGTGGCAGCTCTAAACTTCTTGGCACATCCAGGTTAGAAGTGATCTTCAGCAACCCATGCTTGTCAGAAGTGACTTTTGTAATGGGGTTATTTGGCTTGGTTTATTCACGCCCTTGTATCCTAATTACATAGTGAATCTCCTACTATGTGATGCTCCTGCTCTGAACTGAACACAACCATCACCTGTATTATGGATAACTGTGTGAAGCCGACACCTTCCTGCAGCAACTGGTCAGAAACAGAGAAAACTCTGGCTGAAACATACTTTTATCATGAAACAATTGGGTTGAGAACCAGTATTTTTTCGCAAGTGAAGCGCTCACTATACCATCGCGATGTTATGTAACAATGCTCAATGGGGTTCCATGCTCTATATCTACTTCGGAGCATGCAGGTGGAAAATATCAGTTAAGTTTTGTTATTTGATTGCTACAGCTGTACACGTTGTAAAAGTAAAATATTCAGTCTGAATGAATCCGGAGCCACTCACTTCTATTTCTGACTACAAGTTGAGTGGAGATTATTTTAGAAACTGGGATTTAGTGTGTAGGAAAGTCACACTGAAAAATTACTGGTCTGGGCCAATTTTACCAAAATCTGGCATATCTTGGAGAACGGAAACACTGATACAAGTATCTAAGTACTATATGGCTAACAAGTTACTTTGACATTGCCCGCACTGTTTTCTAAATGACCCACATTACTAAGGACAGATGGAAAGACAAGAATGAACACTTCAGGTTTGGGACTATGTGACACTGGTGCACAGATTGTTTACTGTTTGACATTCCTCCATGCCTGTGTAGGTCAGATTAACCAAATGATGATGTTCTGTAAGTTGGCTCCCTATTAAAAATAGCATTAAATCAGCAGGTATACTCTCTCAACATGGAAGAAATTCTTCTGTTTAAATGTTGTGATGCTGCTGTCTTGGCACTAGGATTACACTTGTCGTGGAAAGATGCAAGGGTCAAGGCCATATTACTTGCTGGGAGCCATGGTCGCGTAATGTGTTTTACAGGTGGCACTAAGAAGGTCACAACTGATGTCGCTTGCCATGGAGACCCAGCCTGAGTTTTGCTGAAACTGGTTAGCCAGACATCACCTGAAAAGTTCCAAGATGCTCTGTCCAGCAAGGATGTCCAAGGTGTTTGGGCCATCTTGTTTCCATGGTGATGATGAACAAGGGTATTGAGAACACTCCCACTGCTCTTTGGCCAATCACATGAAGACAGCCCTGTTTTCCCTTCATGCTGCCAGTCAGACACCAGGTAACCATGGTAACAGAGAATCAGTCATATCATAAGAGTTTTGGTTTTACATGCACTGCACGCGATTCTCTAGCCATATACATAGTTTGGAAGAGTGAATCTGATGTTTTGTGTCCGCACTTTCTCAGGACCATACTGCTGCTCTACATGTATTTTGATTTCTACCAACATGTACTGTATGTCCAGGTGGACCCCCACAGGCTCGATCGGTCCCAACCCGGCAGTCATGTTTGTCATGGAGTGTCTGGTGAAGCTGCCACTCAGACTGTCTGTTGCCCTTGCCAACCAGGTAAGATCTAATCACCAAACAGGTGATCTATCTTCAACAAATAGCTGATGCTGATACCAGGTGATCTATCCTTGCCAACCAGGGTGACTATCCATGCCTATGTTAACTGGCAAACGCTTGGCCTTGACAGATGTACCTCCAGCTTCTTATGAAGAACATGTTGGTGCACTGTGACCTTTGTGTGGTTGTTTAATTGTGATCTGTTCATAATAGTAGTCGTGCCTCTAATGAACACCACCCTCATTACAATATAACTGTTCCAAACACTACTTTCATTTATGATTTGTCTGATATTTGTAGATCTTCCTGGAACCGCTGGGTCAGGTCGTCGGTACCACTAAGTCCAAATTACTTCTATTGTCGGCTTGTCACAATGACAGTCGGAGGGTCCAGCAGCTGGAGAAGCTGGGATGTCTTCTGGGGGTCCAGGAGTGGACGGTCACTCTCACCAACAAGTGTCTGCCACCCCCAGATGCCATCACGGAAGTCTTCTCGGCTGCCGACATCAAGGACCTGAGGGAGCAAGGGGAGGAGCTGATTGTGGTGAGACATAGTGGAGCTGGTTGTGGTGAGACATAGTGGAGCTGATAGTGTGGTGAGACATAGTGGAGCTGATAGTGGTGAGACATAGTGGAGCTGATAGTGGTGAGACATAGTGGAGCTGATTGTGGTGAGACATAGTGGAGCTGATTGTGGTGAGACATAGTGGAGCTGATAGTGGTGAGACATAGTGGAGCTGATTGTGGTGAGACATAGTGGAGCTGATTGTGGAGCTGATGATAGTGGTGAGACATAGTGGAGCTGATAGTGGTGAGACATAGTGGAGCTGATAGTGGTGAGACATAGTGGAGCTGATTGTGGTGAGACATAGTGGAGCTGATTGTGGTGAGACATAGTGGAGCTGATAGTGGTGAGACATAGTGGAGCTGATGGTGAGAACATAGTGGAGCTGATTGTGGTGAGAGACATAGTGGAGCTGATTGTGGTGAGAGACATAGTGGAGCTGATTGTGGTGAGAGACATAGTGGAGCTGATGAGTGAGACATAGTGGAGCTGATAGTGGTGAGACATAGTGGAGCTGATTGTGGTGAGACATAGTGGAGCTGATTGTGGTGAGACATAGTGGAGCTGATTGTGGTGAGACATAGTGGAGCTGATTGTGGTGAGACATAGTGGAGCTGATTGTGGTGAGACATAGTGGAGCTGATAGTGGTGAGACATAGTGGAGCTGATAGTGGTGAGACATAGTGGAGCTGATAGTGGTGAGACATAGTGGAGCTGATGGTGATACATGGTGAGATAGATGAGTGGAGCTGATAGTGGTGAGACATAGTGGAGCTGATAGTGGAGAGACATAGTGGAGCTGATAGTGGTGAGACATAGTGGAGCTGATAGTGGTGAGACATAGTGGAGTGGTGATAGTGGAGCTGATAGTGGTGAGACATAGTGGAGCTGATAGTGGTGAGACATAGTGGAGAGACATAGTGGAGCTGATTGTGGTGATTGTGGTGAGACATAGTGGAGCTGATAGTGGAGAGAGACATAGTGGAGCTGATGGTGAGTAGTGAGACATAGTGGAGCTGATAGTGGTGAGACATAGTGGAGCTGATGGTGTGACATAGTGAGACATAGTGGAGCTGATAGTGAGACATAGAGACATAGTGGAGCTGATAGTGGTGAGACATAGTGGAGCTGATAGTGGTGAGACATAGTGGAGCTGGTGGTGAGACATAGTGGAGCTGGTAGTGGTGAGACATAGTGGAGCTGATAGTGGTGAGACATAGTGGAGCTGATAGTGAGGAGAGACATAGTGGAGCTGGTGTGGTGGTGAGACATAGTGGAGCTGATAGTGGTGAGACATAGTGGAGCTGATAGTGGTGAGACATAGTGGAGCTGATTGTGGTGAGACATAGTGGAGCTGATTGTGGTGAGACATAGTGGAGCTGATAGTGGTGAGACATAGTGGAGCTGATAGTGGTGAGACATAGTGGAGCTGGTAGTGGTGAGACATAGTGGAGCTGATAGTGGTGAGAGACATAGTGGAGCTGATAGTGGTGAGACATAGTGGAGCTGATAGTGGTGAGACATAGTGGAGCTGGTAGTGGTGAGACATAGTGGAGCTGATTGTGGTGAGAGGTGGAGCTGAGACACTGTGGAGACATAGAGACACTGATAGTGGACATGGAGCTGAGACATAGTGGGAGCTGATGGAGTGGTGAGACATAGTGGAGCTGATAGTGGTGAGACATGAGTGGAGCCGGAGACATAGTGAGACAGGGAGTGGAGCTGGATGGTGGTGAGACATAGTGGAGCTGATTGGTGAGTGAGACATAGTGGGAGCTGATGGAGTGAGTGAGACATAGTGGAGCTGATGTGAGACATGAGTGGTGAGACATAGTGGAGCTGTGGATGAGTGTGGTGAGACATAGTGGAGCTGATTGTGGTGAGACATGAGTGGAGCTGTGGAGCAGGTGTGGAGATGAGACATAGTGGAGCTGATTGTGGTGAGACATGAGTGGAGCTGATTGTGGTGAGACATAGTGGAGCTGATTGTGGTGAGACATAGTGGAGCTGGTAGTGAGCATAGTGGAGAGACTGAGAGACATAGTGGAGCTGGATAGTGGTGAGACATATGGAGAAATGGTGGATGATGGTGAGGTGAGATGAGTAGTGGAGCTGGTGGCAGTGGAAGATAGTGGAGCTGATAGTGGTGAGACATAGTGGAGCTGATTGTGGTGAGACATAGTGGAGCTGATTAGTGGTGAGAGACATAGTGGAGCTGATGTGGTGAGACATAGTGGAATGAGTGGAGCTGATAGTAGTGGTGAGACATAGTGGAGCTGGAGTGGTGGAGAGACATAGTGGAGCTGATAGTGGTGAGACATAGTGGAGCTGATAGTGGTGAGACATAGGTGAGTGGTGAGACATAGTGGAGCTGATAGTGGAGAGACATAGTGGAGCTGATAGTGGTGAGACATAGTGGAGCTGATAGTGGTGAGAGACATAGTGGAGCTGATAGTGGTGAGACATAGTGGAGCTGGTAGTGGAGAGACATAGTGGAGCTGATAGTGGTGAGACATAGTGGAGCTGTGGATGGTAGTGGTGTGAGACATAGTGGAGCTGATAGTTAAGACAGCGTCTTTCTGCTGTTTCTAGGAGAGTGAGTCAGAGGAAGAGTCTGAGTCAGAGGAAGAGTCAGACGACCTGGACTCCATCTTGTCTGATGACGACCAGGAGGAGCCAGCTGCCAGGAAGAACACAGAGGAGGGGAGCACGGTCAGGACGGACCTGGAGGTGAAGCTCGGGGAGGAGGCGGTCATGATGGATGGTGGCAGGGAAGACAAGAAGAAGGGTGTGTATGTCTGACATCTTTAAGTCAAACATTTGTTCATGTTGCAGTAAATCCAGGTACTAAATATTCCTTGTCAATACTTACACTGCTTGCATGCTGTTGATGTTTAACAGGAAGCTCCTCAGATTCATCAGATGAGGAAGAAGAAGAGGATAAGCTGGAGGAAGAGCAGACAGCAGAAAATGACAAGGAACCAAAGTTGAACAAATACCAGCTGATTATTGAGCAAATCCGACGCGAGGAGTTCGGCATCGGTGTGGAACTGAACGAAGATGGACAGCGGCTGATGAGGGTGCAGCAGGAGCGTCTAGGGCGGAGTTTGGACCGACTGTCTCGGGATCTGTACAGCAAGGACACGCACTTTGTGCTGGAGCTGGTGCAGAACGCAGATGACAATGCCTACCCAGACAACATCCAGAACAATGAGAACGATGAGTGTCCCTCGGTGAAGTTTCGAATTGACTCCGATGGGGTGATGGTCCAGAACAATGAGAATGGTTTTCGAGAGAAAGATATCCGAGCTCTCTGTGACGTGGGCAGGAGCACCAAGGGAAAACACAAGTTTGGGTACATCGGTGAGTCTTGCACCCAGTGGGAGATCTTAGTGCTCCATGTGTGATACCACATAACAACCAGTCACAACCAGTCACAACCAGTATCTGTAATATTGTAACTTGCTGATGTATATACCAGATGCTCTACCTATTCACCAGACATGTTGTGATTAGTATTCACACGATTTGACAATCTCTCCACAGGACAGAAAGGAATTGGCTTCAAATCAGTGTTCCGGGTAACAGATTGCCCTCATGTTCACTCCAATGGCTTCCACATTAAGTTTGATGTGAAGAGCGGACCCACTGGCTACATCCTGCCTCACTGGGTGGACGAAGAACACGCTCAGGATAAAGGGTGAGTTGTCAGTGGTGCCCAGTTGTGATCTGTGTTGAAGTGTTCAGCACGAGTGTGATCAGTGATGTTCAGCATGTGTGATGTGTGTTGAAGTGTTCAGCACGAGTGTGATCAGTGATGTTCAGCATGTGTGATGTGTGATGAAGTGTTCAGCACTAGTGTGATCAGTGATGTTCAGCATGTGTGATGAAGTGTTCAGCACTAGTGTGATCAGTGATGTTCAGCATGTGTGATGTGTGATGAAGATTTCAGCATGTGTGATCTGTGATGAAGTGTTCAGCATGTGTGATCTGTGATGAAGTGTTCAGCATGTGTGGACTGTGATGAAGTGTTCATTATGTGTGATCTGTGATGAAGTGTTCAGCATTAGTGGTCTGTGATGAAGTGTTCAGCATGTGTGATCTGTGATGAAGTGTTCATCATGTGTGTGATCTGTGATGAAGTGTTCGGCATATGTGTGATCTGTGATGAAGTGTTCAGCATGTGTGTGATCTGTGATGAAGTGTGTTCAGCATGTGTGATCTGTGATCAGCATGTGTGATGTGATGAAGTGTTCAGCATGTGTGATCTGTGATGAAGTGTTCAGCATGTGTGATCTGTGATGAAGTGTTCAGCATGTGTGATCTGTGATGAGTGTTCAGCATTAGTGGTCTGTGATGATGTTCAGCATGTGTGTGATCTGTGATGAAGTGTTCAGCATGTGTGTGATCTGTGATGAAGTGTTCAGCATGTGTGATCTGTGATGAAGTGTTCAGCATGTGTGATCTGTGATGAAGTGTTCAGCATGTGTGATCTGTGATGAAGTGTTCAGCATGTGCGGATCCAGATGAAGTACCGGACTGTGATGAAGTGTTCATTATGTGTGATCTGTGATGAAGTGTTCAGCATGTGTGGTCTGTGATGAAGTGTTCAGCATGTGTGATCTGTGATGAAGTGTTCATCATGTGTGTGATCTGTGATGAAGTGTTCAATATGTGTGATCTGTGATGAAGTGTTCAGCATGTGTGTGATCTGTGATGAAGTGTTCAGCATGTGTGATCTGTGATGAAGTGTTCAGCATGTGTGATCTGTGATGAAGTGTTCAGCATGTGTGATCTGTGATGAAGTGTTCAGCATGTGTGATCTGTGATGAAGTGTTCAGCATGTGTGATCTGTGATGAAGTGTTCAGCATTAGTGGTCTGTGATGAAGTGTTCAGCATGTGTGTGATCTGTGATGAAGTGTTCAGCATGTGTGTGATCTGTGATGAAGTGTTCAGCATGTGTGATCTGTGATGAAGTGTTCAGCATGTGAGTGATCTGTGATGAAGTGTTCAGCATGTGTGTGATCTGGCGAGGAAGTGTTCAGCATGTGTGAGCTGTGATGAAGTGTTCCGGCATGTGTGATCTGTGATGAAGTGTTCAGCATGTGTGATCTGTGATGAAGTGTTCAGCATATGTGATCTGTGATGAAGTGTTCAGCATGTGTGTGATCTGTGATGAAGTGTTCAGCATGTGTGTGATCTGTGATGAAGTGTTCAGCCTGTGCGGATCTGTGATGAAGTGTTCCGGCATGTGTGTGATCTGTGATGAAGTGTTCAGCATGTGTGATCTGTGATGAAGTGTTCGCATGTGTTATCTGTGATGAAGTGTTCATGTGTGTGTCTGTGATCCAGCATGATCTGTGATGAAGTGTTCAGCATGTGTGATCTGTGATGAAGTGTTCAGCATGTGTGATCTGTGATGAAGTGTTCATCATGTGTGTGATCTGTGATGAAGTGTTCGGCATATGTGTGATCTGTGATGAAGTGTTCAGCATGTGTGTGATCTGTGATGAAGTGTTCAGCATGTGTGATCTGTGATGAAGTGTTCAGCATGTGTGATCTGTGATGAAGTGTTCAGCATGTGTGATCTGTGATGAAGTGTTCAGCATGTGTGATCTGTGATGAAGTGTTCAGCATATGTGTGATCTGTGATGAAGTGTTCAGCATTAGTGGTCTGTGATGAAGTGTTCAGCATGTGTGATCTGTGATGAAGTGTTCAGCATGTGTGTGATCTGTGATGAAGTGTTCAGCATGTGTGATCTGTGATGAAGTGTTCAGCATGTGAGTGATCTGTGATGAAGTGTTCAGCATGTGTGATCTGCGAGGAAGTGTTCAGCATGTGTGAGCTGTGATGAAGTGTTCGGCATGTGTGTGATCTGTGATGAAGTGTTCAGCATGTGTGATCTGTGATGAAGTGTTCAGCATATGTGATCTGTGATGAAGTGTTCAGCATGTGTGTGATCTGTGATGAAGTGTTCAGCATGTGTGTGATCTGTGATGAAGTGTTCAGCCTGTGTGATCTGTGATGAAGTGTTCGGCATGTGTGTGATCTGTGATGAAGTGTTCAGCATGTGTGATCTGTGATGAAGTGTTCGGCATGTGTTATCTGTGATGAAGTGTTCGGCATGTGTGTGATCTGTGATGAAGTGTTCAGCATGTGTGATCTGTGATGAAGTGTTCAGCATGTGTGATCTGTGATGAAGTGTTCAGCATGTGTGATCTTTGATGAAGTGTTCAGCACAAGTGTGATCTGTGATGAAGTGTTCAGCATATGTGTGATCTGTGATGAAGTGTTCAGCATGTGTGATCTGTGATGAAGTGTTCAGCATGTGTGTGATCTGTGATGAAGTGTTCAGCATGTGTGATCTGTGATGAAGTGTTCAGCATGTGTGATCTGTGATGAAGTGTTCAGCATGTGTGATCTGTGATGAAGTGTTCAGCATGTGTGATCTGTGATGAAGTGTTCAGCATGTGTGATCTGTGATGAAGTGTTCAGCATGTGTGTGATCTGTGATGAAGTGTTCAGCATGTGTGATCTGTGATGAAGTGTTCAGCATGTGTGATCTGTGATGAAGTGTTCAGCATGTGTGGATCTGTGATGAAGTGTTCAGCATGTGTGTGATCTGTGATGAAGTGTTCAGCATATGTGTGATCTGTGATGAAGTGTTCAGCATGTGTGATCTGTGATGAAGTGTTCAGCATGTGTGTGATCTGTGATGAAGTGTTCAGCATGTGTGTGATCTGTGATGAAGTGTTCAGCATGTGTGATCTGTGATGAAGTGTTCAGCATGTGTGATCTGTGATGAAGTGTTCAGCATGTGTGATCTGTGATGAAGTGTTCAGCATGTGTGTGATCTGTGATGAAGTGTTCAGCATGTGTGATCTGTGATGAAGTGTTCAGCATGTGTGATCTGTGATGAAGTGTTCAGCATTATGTGGTCTGTGATGAAGTGTTCAGCATGTGTGATCTGTGATGAAGTGTTCAGCATGTGTGTGATCTGTGATGAAGTGTTCAGCATGTGTGATCTGTGATGAAGTGTTCAGCATGTGTGATCTGTGATGAAGTGTTCGGCATGTGTGTGATCTGTGATGAAGTGTTCAGCATGTGTGATCTGTGATGAAGTGTTCAGTGTGTGATCCAGATGAAGTGTTCATCATGTGATCTGTGATGAAGTGTTCAGCATGTGTGATCTGTGATGAAGTGTTCAGCATGTGTGATCTGTGATGAAGTGTTCAGCATGTGTGATCTGTGATGAAGTGTTCAGCATGTGTGATCTGTGATGAAGTGTTCAGCATGTGTGATCTGTGATGAAGTGTTCATCATGTGTGTGATCTGTGATGAAGTGTTCGGCATATGTGTGATCTGTGATGAAGTGTTCAGCATGTGTGTGATCTGTGATGAAGTGTTCAGCATGTGTGATCTGTGATGAAGTGTTCAGCATGTGTGATCTGTGATGAAGTGTTCAGCATGTGTGATCTGTGATGAAGTGTTCAGCATGTGATCTGTGATGAAGTGTTCAGCATGTGTGATCTGTGATGAAGTGTTCAGCATGTGTGGTCTGTGATGAAGTGTTCAGCATGTGTGATCTGTGATGAAGTGTTCAGCATGTGTGATCTGTGATGAAGTGTTCAGCATGTGTGATCTGTGATGAAGTGTTCAGCATGTGTGATCTGTGATGAAGTGTTCAGCATGTGTGTGATCTGTGATGAAGTGTTCAGCATGTGTGATCTGTGATGAAGTGTTCAGCATGTGTGATCTGTGATGAAGTGTTCAGCATATAGTGATCTGTGATGAAGTGTTCAGCATGTGTGATCTGTGATGAAGTGTTCAGCATGTGTGATCTGTGATGAAGTGTTCAGCATATGTGTGATCTGTGATGAAGTGTTCAGCATGTGATCTGTGATGAAGTGTTCAGCATGTGTGTGATCTGTGATGAAGTGTTCAGCATGTGCGGATCTGTGATGAAGTGTTCAGCATGTGTGATCTGTGATGAAGTGTTCAGCATGTGTGTGATCTGTGATGAAGTGTTCAGCATGTGTGATCTGTGATGAAGTGTTCAGCATGTGATCTGTGATGAAGTGTTCAGCATGTGTGATCTGTGATGAAGTGTTCAGCATGTGTGTGATCTGTGATGAAGTGTTCAGCATGTGTGATCTGTGATGAAGTGTTCAGCATGTGAGTGATCTGTGATGAAGTGTTCAGCATGTGTGATCTGCGATGAAGTGTTCAGCATGTGAGCTGTGATGAAGTGTTCATGTGTGATCTGTGATGAAGTGTTCAGCATGTGTGATCTGTGATGAAGTGTTCAGCATGTGTGATCTGTGATGAAGTGTTCAGCATGTGTGTGATCTGTGATGAAGTGTTCAGCATGTGTGATCTGTGATGAAGTGTTCAGCCTGTGATCTGGATGATGAAGTGTTCGGCATGTGTGATCTGTGATGAAGTGTTCAGCATGTGTGATCTGTGATGAAGTGTTCGGCATGTGTTATCTGTGATGAAGTGTTCGGCATGTGTGTGATCTGTGATGAAGTGTTCAGCATGTGTGATCTGTGATGAAGTGTTCAGCATGTGTGATCTGTGATGAAGTGTTCATCATGTGTGTGATCTGTGATGAAGTGTTCGGCATATGTGTGATCTGTGATGAAGTGTTCAGCATGTGTGTGATCTGTGATGAAGTGTTCAGCATGTGTGATCTGTG